CATACGAATTGGCCAAATTAATTATTCGAGTCAATATATAAATAAATGAAGTAACCAAATAATTGGCAAACAATGGGAGTAACGCGTGGAGCATATAGCACGCACAGAAAAAACAAGAAATGCATGCAGAATTTTAGTCAAAAAGCTTGTAGGGAAGAGACGAACTGTGAAGTACTGAAGTAGATGGGAGAATATTATTAAAGAGGGTTTTAAAGAAATAATAAGACTATATGAGAGTGTGAACTTAGACGACGCGACTAAGGACAGGGGCTTTTGTGAACACGGTAATGAATCTTTTAGTTCCGTAAGGGCGCACAGTTTCTGACTCACTGGAGGACTATTAGGTTCTTCAAGAAACCACAACATCGAATTCTAATGAATAAATGGAGTGAGTGTATCACTTACGTCAGGGTCGTGGTAATTATATGTACCACTTGCATCAATAATCAATAAATTTGTATTTTTATGTATTTGTTTCGTATGATTCCAACCGTAAACACCGATTACTTCCTTAAACAGCGTTAATCAGCTGATATTTCGTAATGGTGAAGTGTCGTGTTTTCTTCGCGGTACGGTCTGAATTCTTAAATATTATTTAAATAAGCATCGTGTTTCAAAGTGTCAACCTTCTGACCACTGAATTAAGGCAAATTCGGGTTCGGATTTTTCTCTACCACACTTCTCGTCTTGTGAGTTCTCTTTTCTTCTTATTACAAGAAGCTCAAAGCGTCCAGTAGTAATTACTTCGTCCATCAGAAGATTGGAAATGTCAGAAATGAGATCTTACGACCTTTTCTGAATATTTCAAGACTGGATCAGCGAAACGAAATCGATATCTTGAGATGAAGACGTCATATATATAGAAATACCTATATTCAGATGGGGAGATACTGTTAAAAAGAATCTTAGGAAAATATGGTTAGAAGGTTGTAAAATGGTTTCATTTGGCTTCGTATATGGTCGGGGGTGGGACGTTGTGAACATATTAATGGACTTCCTGGTTTCATACAAGAGGTGGGGGGGAATTTCTCGGTTAGATGAGCGTAATATTAGCTCCTACAAAAGGACTCTCTCTACTCCACTGAGCTAATTAATTAGTCAGTGTGCCAAATATAGCTACCTCTGTGTCGTAAAGAATTAAACAAAAATCGAAACGGATCTTCTAGTGCGATTCAAATTCGTTACGTGACAAGTCCAAATCTCACTGGCCTTAACATTAAGTTAATGCAGATGCAAAACGAATATTAAAACAAGTCGGAAACTACAAATTAAAAAAAATGTTCTTTCTTGTGATTCGTTAAATATATGCACCCTTACCATGGTAACAGGTAACATTTAGGAACGCGTCTAACACGTAAGTGGATAACAGACGCTCGCCACATGTGTTATTGCCGCGTTAACCTGCTCGTGTCCATCCGATGGGTCCCCGAACATTGGTGCCTAAAAGCGGTTTCATGTAATAACTAAGGCAGGGAAAAGTGTCGTTAAGGTATATTCCAGGCTGAGTTCCAAATGGATCAAAGGCCCTAAGGGACGATCCATTCATTCTGACTACGTACGTGCTGTGGCCCCCGAGTAATAACGAACGTCGACCAAACTTCGTTAAGTGGAAAATACCCTAAAATGATGTGTGGTATTTATATAAACCTGCGAGAAGTGTGCATCTTATGTTATGAACAAAAGTTCGCAGAATGACAAAGCAAACAAAGTTTTCAGCTAACTGTTACATAGCATATTAGCAATAAACCATCGCAGTCAGGAAACTGGAATATGGACGCATCACCCTGATGATAGAGGCAGCAAGGTCCTCCGAAACGTCGGTAAACTTCTACCAGACTACACGGCGCAACAACCCAGAAGACTCAAACTCACCGCCGTCAAAAACCTCAAATCCTACAAATAAAATATGATCTCAAGACAGATAATACGTAGACTAACATGAATTCTTCTCGATTCTTCTTAGAGTCCATATTCCCACATGTACAGATGTCGATGTTGGTCATCTGGGTAGTAACGCCATGTGCACTTGCACATGTATATCATCTTCAGCCCTGAAGATGGAGGCAAATTTTCCTCCGAAACGTTAGTACCTACCTACAAGTCCACACGGCGCTATTACCCACAAGGTCAACACTGACTTGTTCCAATCATGTTATTTATATTAGTTATATGTTCCATGTGAAAGACAGTGGTAAGTATATGTACCACCAGAAGACTACAAAGCTCAAAATTTAATTCAAGTACAATTACTAGCAATATTCTGCTAAAATATTTCTTCCTTGAACATTGACCGACTAATCCATGCAACGGATATGAGGTGTACTGATATTGGAGGTACGTACCGACATTTTAAAGATCATTTAGAAACATTTCGGGCCTTAAATATTAATAAACATTCGACTTCCTGTAACCCTCCACAGCCCAGTGGTAACTGTATATACCACCTGTTTTACTAATCATAAACTCTGCAATTTGTCCACAAAATTTTTATTTACGTTTTACGTATGACTCTCACAGTAAAGGGATATTATTTCCTTGAACAGTTGATCTTTGTAATGGTGAAGTGCTGTGTTTTCTTCGCGGTACGGGCCATATTCTTAAATATTATAAAGACGATTTCTGGCTTCAAAGGTTTAATCAGTTTGCTGACACCAATCAAATTCCTGTCCATATTTAACCACGACCGCTGTTTAAGATGAAGATCTTCATTAAAATTCCGTGAGCATGGTCTCTTTCGTAGTCGAAGGGGAGGACACGGAGAAGATAATTTAAGATAAAAAAAGGAACAAGAAAAATGAACGTGTTCTCTTAGGTCACGCGTATGTCGGCCATGCAGAATGCAGGAAGAACGGAATATAAACCTATTGCACACATTACAGCAGGCTTTGAATTAATGATTTTAAAATGTCAATCAAGTTCATAGGCCCAATTATCTTGCAAAGTTACTCGTTTTCGTCAAACTAAAATAACTTTTAGGGCTTCATACAGTCTCTACAAAACATCCAACCATAAGATGGAAACTGCAGTCACTGACAAAACGTCGAATGACCGATGTTATAACTCGAAGAAGCTTCAGTAAACTTCAGACTTTTCTTTCTTTCCCCTCCTCGTGCAAGATGTATTTATTCGCAACAAGGACATAATATTTCGGTCATGGAAGGAAAACGAAGTTATGAACAACCATCAAGGCAAAAATACAATCATGGAGTACGAAGAAGAGATTCCGGTCTGATTGGGAATTTATCGAATAAAAACGCAGGATAAAATCTCCGAAGCAGGTTTTCCTTCAAAAAAGCGGGTAGAAGGAGTAAAGATAAAGTTCCACACATACTTTAACCTCCATATCGAATTTCGTAAAATAATGCTTCTTATTTCTAAAGATACCGTGTTCGAATCTTGGAGCGGAGACCAGCTACCCTGACATCTTTTTGGTGATTTTACTACGACATTAAAAAAAATGCTGTTACAGCCTGCCAACTTTATAAAACATCACAAAGAAATATGAATACATCTAAAAATAAGAAATAAAACAAACGTGGTATCAAAACGAACCACACCCAACAAAATTCCAAGGCTTTGTCTTCAACTGAAACCATCCCAGATAATAAGTACAAATTTAATAAGAGTTTTTGGTAGCACGGCCCGAAAGTAGTGTCAAATTACGCCACTGGACATTACTACATCTCAAATAACTAAGCGTGGTTCAGTGCCCTGTACTTCGCTACAATAAGAACACCACGTGACCTGCGTAAATCATTAACTTCAACATCTTCTGTGATTTACAGACGTTTCAGAGGTGCTTACTATCTGTGATTTTCAGACGTTTCAGAGGTGCTTACTGCCTCCATCATCAAGGCCCACATAATTAAGGTAAAAAGTACTTCCGAAACGTCGGTAAACTTCGATGAAGGTAAAAAGTACTTCCAAAACGTCGGTAGACTTCTACCAGACTACACGGCGCAACATCCCAGACGCCGTGAGAACCTGAAATCTCGCATCATTACCTTCCTCATTACGTTACGTTCTGATTGTATCATTTAATGATAACGTTAACAATAATATTTATGTAAAACTGCTGTATCACCACCAATATCGAACAAACTTCGACCACATACTTACATCGTTGTGGGTTGTTAATACTCAGACCAACAGCCAAGGGCTAACATAAGCTTATCTATCGCTAATGTTCCGGGTTTCTACGATAGAATGTTCACGATTTCATAAAGCACTGTAGGATGTGTACTCATATAATAAATGTTGGCTGTGACAGTTGCGTGGACGCTGACTCATCATCAATCACCACCCAGTCCAGTTACTTACTCACCGGCAGATTCAATAAGGCACTGACTCACTATCTAGTTCAATGGGGCACTGTTTCTCTGGCTAATTAAGTCGTATATTCACACATTGGACAATTAATTAATGTAATTGCTTACAAACCCATTCGCCTTGTTACTTAGTGGCTCATCGATTCAAACCCAAAGATTGTTATCGGGAAACTCACTAAAATAATTATTCACAAACCCATCCAACTACTCTTTCATCAAACCCACTGTCCAAATCAGCCTAGTCAACAAACTCATCCAATGGCCCTGTGATTGAATTCTACCCTGAATGATCGTAAATGACATTGGCAACGTAATTAATTAGAGCTCCATGTTGTAAATGTAATGGCATTGCATATAACCAACACACCCATAAAACTACTTTTCCTTGTATTGTTTTAGATACTCAATAATATATGTTTTACAATAAATTTTGCAAGTCTTAACTAGACTTATATTAATCAGGGTCTGTACTGGACCAAAATGATGGTCATCTAATGACTTAAAGTTAGACACACAAGTGTAATTTAACTCGGTAAATCGTTTCCATGAAATATAGAACACGTAAACTCCTCCATTATACATTTATACTCTACTTCTAAAAACAATGGGTAAACGTATAAAAGAAATGCCTTATATCATATTTGTTAAAAGCCAAATTAATTTGGTACTTACTTTGAATACATCCTGCACATTCGTATCACTGCTCCTGATGGAGTATTCCTTTGGCTGTTTACGTCAAGCATAACGGATGCTTCGTGATGATCAGCGAGTTCTTCGTATGTGAAAACACGCGAACTATTTGCATGCCGGCTCTTATCTGCATCATACAAAGACGCGGGCGTAAGACTGAAAGCTTACAGTTTAGTCCTCTAGGAGCGCTCATATCAATGCGTTACAGACGAAAATTTTTATATTTATATATTGTCATATCTACATAATTTGTATCAGTGCGTTAAAAAATTGATTTCCTAAAATAAGTGAATAATTCCTATTATGCCAAACTTTCTATAGCTTATGCGCATAAATTAAATCAGGGTCTACATTTCTTTAGGACAGGTTATGCATGCTTCTGATTATGAACTCCATTCCGTAGGTTACGAGAAAAGGTGATTAAATTCAAACGTAAAAAAACTGTAATATTTCAAAGGTCTATTACGTTTCATCTCTGTTGTAAGTGAAGTGAAATACGGCCATTATGATTGGCTGTCAAGATACAGTTATGAGGAGGCAACGTGACATGCACACGTCATGACTGAACGAACAAGAGCCCCCCCCCCCCCCACACCCCCCACACTATGCGACGTAGAAACACAACTGCGCGTCTGGAAGAAACTAAATTGTCAAATGACCGAACAAAGTTTGACCATGCGCACTGCAAAACAAATTACATTTCTTCACAGGTGGTTTGAAACTATGGATCTCACTCTTCGTGATATGTAACGTCGTGGCCGATTAGTTCAATACACACGATTCGAGGTTCGATCCTTTATAGAAGATTAAAGCAATTATGTTCAACTGGTTGCCCAACAGAGCACGCCACTCTCCAGACAAGGCATATGTAAACACAAGTGTCATAACCAGCAACATAAAGTTATAGTGGAACCACGGTTCCGGAGAATTTGACGTAAATACGTCTCCGCAATGTAATGTAAAGTAATGTTATCTTCAATGTCATCCATCTTGTTACGAAAGCGGATTGTTGACGGCAATAATGTAACACATCAATACCGAGTAAACAGATGACGTTTCCTAGGTAACAACAATGCACGCAAGCTGACCATTGTCAGCAGTCCATATTTACACATTGTTGATACGGATCTTACACATTACCGACGACAATGGTCCATATTTACAAATCGTTGATATTTCCTAGGTAACTATTTTACACATTTTCCTTACACTTTTTTGCAGAATGACCCTTCAATATAGACGTATTTACGTCAAAATGCCAGCTATTTAGTGGTGTTGCTTTCTTCTGTAATTCTGTAGTAACCTGTAAATTACTAACATAATCATGACATTTATATCTGCACCAGAAAAGTGTTACATTTGTATTATGACATATTCTACATCCTTGGCTTAGGCCTATTAAGGATCTACTGAATTTAAATAAATTATATTCTATTCAATACTAAAACAAGAACACAGAATCCTGGCCAAATGGGAGGTTGGAACACATGGCCAATGATATGTAAAAACCAGTGCGCACAGAGAACTCAGGAACTATTAAGAGATCGCATGCACATGTAAATATTTCACAGGCATTAGGGGAAAAAAAATAATTACACACAAATTAGACATATATAATGTAAAACTGCCATGCTACATGTCATGGAGGTGCTCGAAGGAAGAGGATTACAGCTCCGATTTCTCCCAGGCCTTGGCACCGGACGAGGGTAGTCAGCATCGTGCCCGGCCGCACTTTATCCGCAGTGGGCGGGCCACAGAGCTGACCTGGAGAACCAAAACCGAGAGAAGTAGGCCGAGATGGTTTGGACATGTTAAAGTAATGGATTAAGACTTGGAAATAAAGATGAGCGGAAGAAGCCCCAGGGGCAGACGACGAGCTGAAGAGAGAGGGAGCATGTTACTTCAAAATACCATTTTCACAGCTGAGAACCTAAAATCTTACACGCTACCTTAAATTAAGCCACAACTGGAACCTTCCAATTCATGAACCATCATCACATTTGGTGTTACACTGACAGTGTCATTAAATAAACAATATAAATTATAAAATAAATCATCATTCACAGGGAGATAAAATTATTTTCGCATTACTCTTTACATTTTATTGCATAAGAACCATATACAATTCCCATAACTTATTAAAGATTGTGTTATCAAAATTAACCGAGCACCTCCTCAGTTCCTTTAAAATTTTTAACATTAAACTATTCGCTTTTATTTAACTCACGTGAAAATCAGCCCAAAACCCAAAACTGCAAACGGAATGATTAATGAAACCAGTTCAATCCAATTATAATTTTACTCAGGCCTCATTACAAAATTTCGGTATTCAATTAATTCTGACAGCAAACAAACTTCCATTTCAAAATTTTATTTATGAGTTTGCATTAGGTCCCCTCCTGCGGCCAAAACCTTGCACGACGTTGACAAAACGGCGATTGTACTGAATGCGACGCTTGGCCCGACCAGTCTTCTTCTTTTTCTTCTCCTGTTTGTCCACCTTAAGAACATAAAATTAAAATATTAACAAAAGTTATCATCACAATACGTAAATATTCACACTCATGATGAGCATTTGTATTGGATCGTGGGGTATATTATTCTCGCTTACCTTAGGTGTCTGACCTTTAACTTTACCAGCACGAGCCAAGGAGCCGTGCACCTTGCCTCCCCTCAAAGGAACACTGACATCAATGCTAAATGATTTTAGGCTGGCTACAAGATCGTCGTCAATCAACGGAGATCCACTACAGTAGAGGCAAACTTCTTCCACAGGAATACTCTCCAATTTGGCTACCTGTTCCTGCAAAATCGAACAAAAGATATTGTCTGAATGCTTAAATGACAACTCACATATGAAGAATAAATTTCATTAAATCTCACAACTGGCTCGCAGACCCTGACATATTAAAATTGTGGAACAAACTTCTAACAATAATTTACAATAATGCAAACTAGTGATATATTTCTGTACATAATATCTACCAGTACACATTTGCAAAACAACTTACAGTACATAACATCAAATATTTGTAATTTATAAACACGGATACATATTTCTTGTATTCAGACGTACAACTTTGTAAAATTAAATCTTAAATGTTCAAACTGAACCTTCATTATGGCACAATAAGCAATAACCTACTTAAGAGAAAAAAAAGAGAACTTACTTTTATTTCGCCAACAGACTCGTTACCTTCGCAGTCAATAACATGGTTGCCCTGTCCCCGTATATGCAGCTGCATTATGCTCAAATCTAAAAGAAAGAAATGTTTTACAGAAACAGCATCAGCCAAACTGTTTCAAGTATTTCACTGCATGTGTAGAAGAATTTGTCTGTCAGTCAGCTTCACCATATTACAAACACATGGGTTTTAATGCAATATTTTGTACTTGCACATGAAAACATATTCTATTCAACTTTATATAAAAAATACCTATTAAAACAATTTACAGCATTTTTCTTTACAAATCCTATGTTCCTTCAAATGCTTCTGTATGTGTGGTGGGGCTTGTAAAATCTAATTTTCCAATTTTGTGATTAACTTATGTATCCAGGTGAATGTGCCAAATCCAACTTAGCAGAGCCCAAGATCTGATCATCCGGCAAGTCTACATACTTGTGCAGACAGATGTCCTGGTGGAAGCATTAACATCAACCTAACGAGATCTGATACAACTTAATAAAATATATTTTTGTCAGTTGTAACATGGAACTTGTTCAAAGGCAAATATATTATCTGGTTTCCTTTCAATACAAATAATTTGTTGCAATGTCTTCTATATGATACGTAACATAAGAGACTACAACCACATATAATTAACATAACTTCAACACTTCTAATTTCTAAAGGTAATCGTTAACTTCTACATCTCCAGAACCGACATATTAGTTCAACACACGCGACCTCGACTGGTACACGTGGTCTCAACCAAACACACAGACAAATAACCAGTCTAGTATATCAATTCGGGACGAACCAAATAATACATACTTTTTCGTCTTGAAATGCTTCTGAAGACTGTCCAGCTGTAACGAAATCAGTTTCTACTTTCAATTATATCTGCTGCCACTCGCCATCAACAATAAAAAGGAAGCAATTCAACGGACTCAAATTATACTATATTTTGTATTACTGCTAGTGGCCTTACTGGTAAATGTAAAGGTATTTAAGTATGCCTAAGTATTTCATATCTTTTTATTGAAAGACAATTTTAAATATATTTGATGTATTATAGTATTAATACATTACTTTAATGTAATTTCCTGACTTGAGTAGTATTCATAAAACCCAATAGCAAACATAACAAAATTGAATATTTGGCTATTTTTTAATTTTTAGTCAGATGACGTACACATTTCATATTTTCAAAACCGGCGGTCGTGGTTACAGATTTCATTAAAAATAGATTAATTTGTATTATATACGCGAATATGTCAAGTCTATGAATAAAAGTTCTTGTATTGTTTTGGATTCGGTTGATAGATGTCGTAAATATGTTGGTATTAGCTGTGTCATAAGATTGTGTTGGAATGGAGGGGAGGTGTTGCATGTGTAGTGATGTAAGTTGCTAGGAAGGTTTTAATCACGCTTGTGTGTGGTTCTGCTACCCGGTGTCGTTAAGTGTTTTGATGATTATGGTAGTTTTATCCTCATTTACTAGAAAGCATGACGTTCAGTTTGTTCCGTGTCTTGTGGACTCTCTTACATGTGTTTCTGACGGCAGTGCACTTTATAGAAAGCGTGTGGAATTCTTTACGCCGAAAGTTAGATCTAGTTTCTAAGAACTATGTGGACGATGAACTTGGATTTATTTCAAGACACGTGAAATTATTTAATAAAATTCCGTCACACTTAGTAGTCATAGTAGGTAATGAAACAATATCCTATAGGGACCTGGCAAATGTAGCTGTTTGGTCCATAGCAGCTGGAATTTCTTTCGTAAGCTTCTATGATCATCATGGTACGCACTATTCCTTGATCTTTATAGATCAATGTCCATTAAAAATTATATTTATATAACGTTGCTTACCGAAGCAGTTTTAAGGTTTGCCTTTATCATTGAAATAGTGTCTCTTATGGCCTTGATTTAAAATATACTGACTAAGTATGTTGTGTTACAGGGATTTTAAAGAAGAATGAAGCCGAGTTACTCAAAGCCCTTTCAGAGAAAACAAAAGCACAATTTGAAAACATTGTATGGGGGAAGAGAACTAAGACACATGGGTTAATAAATAAGAATGGAACAAAAAATGGTAATGGTAAAATAATTTGTAATTGGTATGATAATACAGTATATCTGATAATGTCTTATATACAACATCCTGCCAAATTAATTTCATTATAATGCACTGTGTATTTATATGTTAACTCTTTACTCAATACTTTAATGATGAAAGCAATAAGCAAGCCTGAAATCTCACCAAGAACACAGAGATAATACAGATGTGGCAAAGGAAAAACCCCTATTTTTTCCAAAAATCTAACCCCCACCATCCAACTCATGACAAGTCACTTCGTTGATTCAGCTGTCTCTGCCCATTGATACATGACTTCTAGACCAGGATTCGCCACGGTTTCTGGTAGTTATTGCCAAGAGAGCCAAAGGAGTTTATTAATTAGTATATACAGGATGCATGAGCTAGGGTAGCTCACTTAGTACAGTGTCTGACTACAGACTGGACCACCAAGGTTTGATCCCTGGTAGGGGCAAACGTTTTCTTCTAGCTTCTTGGTCCCACCCAGCTTCCTGTCCATTGGGTACTGGGGATAAACTGTGGCAGGGGCATGATGATAACCACTCACCCTCATATACTGCTAAAGCCAAGAATAAGTGAACTTTTCCTCCTCTCCCTACAAGAGCCTCTGTGGTGAATAATAGGACAACTTTACATTTAAAACGTGTGTCTTTTCAGGTGTTGTGTCGTCACACAAGCTTCATTTAAATATTTTTTCCTTGAGTGATGGAAAAGGAGCTTTGGTGAAGCTGACTAAGAGCCTCTGCCAGTCTGTCATTGCTGGTCAGATGACAGTGACAGATATTAATCAGGACTTGATTGATGAAAAGTTAAGGGCAGAAATGGACATTCCAGATCCTGAACTTGCTCTTTACTGCGGAGACGTGTGTTCCACATATGGCTTCCTTCCCTGGCAGATACATGTCACAGAATTCCTGTAAGCAAACCAAATGGTTATTGAATTAACCTTATTGTTGTAGCATGTGCCTTTAGTCGAATATACCATCTGAACTTTGAAAACATTACTAGACCCACAGAATTATATAATACCTCTATTTGGTTTACTTACTGATAGTACGAACAGTACAGTGTCTGGACGTGGACTCTACGATCAGAATTTGATTCCCAGCTGGGATGTTTCTCTTTACCTCGATGTTGAGAATGATTTTGTAGCTCACCCAGCCTTCAGTATTAATTAGTAATTGGGATAAAATGTTGAGGTCTTCCACTGAGACTTCTTTTAAATTCTGCATATTTTTATCGTTTCAGGCAGCTGCAGTCACATCACAACATTCAAATAAAGGATTTCCTGTTACTATTAAAAAAATATGGAAAATGTGTACAGAGACATGGAAAATGACTTTGGATCAGATAATTGGGGTTTATGAATTATATGAATACACTTCTTTGGAGGATGAAGTCAAGCAAGGAAATTTGAGGATCACTGAATTGTCAAACATTTACAGCCTTGATTAATTTAAGAGTTCCAATCTTCAGTATAGGGGTTTAAGAGCTATGTTTCTGGGAAATGCAGGTCCACCAATAGAATGAAATATAAATATATCACTTCTGACATCACAAGAGGTAGGACTTGCAAATGCAATTATAGCACACAATCTTTCGTGATGCCATATTCTTAAATCTGCATTTTCATCAATGGAAATGGAAATCCCCCCCAAACAACATTAAGTGAAAATCAGTCTAATTATTGGCCTACACACCAGATCATACTGATCTTAAAAAACTATACCAACAGCTCGATCAGTTCAGTGACATGAAAAATGTTAAAAATTTCTTTGCAAAAGTATCGGGTATTCAGTATGTTAATTTTTGTATGCTTGTGAATAATACAAATACATAAAAAGCATATAAATGAATTATGGTGTTTCTTCTTTGCCCTGATGTTTTTACAGTGGCTCATAGAGGTGAACTGCATTATAAAGATGTGTCATATACTTTGTAACACCGAGATAACGCAAAGTAACTACGAACGTACATTAAGTTTTAATGTCATACTGTTCAACCACAAACGGGACATGGTTAACATCATAGTTGTACATACCACTCTGTAGTCTTCAATTACATTCCAGTTTTATTTGTACAAGAAACAATCTGTATAACAGAGAATGTAAATGTTTTATGTGCACATGCATCCAGATAGCAATGAATATAAACAGCAAGGTATTTTCATTATCTGAAATTATCTCTACTAAATCCTGCAACTCCCTATTCCCATTTTATATCACCAAAAATTATATCTTTTATGCTTGTTTGGCCACAACAGTTCGCTGTCGTGATACTCTTGAACTTGATTTGTCATTACATTTATCAATCCATAAGATACCTCAAGAATCACATCCTTGTAACATAATTCCTCTTATAATTCATGTGTCTATGACTACCGTTTTATTGCTCAACCTCCTCAGATAAAAACTTGATGAACCTAAGCACCTTACTGAAAAGTGTTAAGCTTTGCCATTTCCACACACCATCGATGTGAGGTTTATTCAGTTCTTAGGAAAAGCAAAGGGTTGCATGTGTGTGAATCACCAGAAAAACTGAAAATGTGTTAAGTACGAAATGCGAAACAATTGCCATTTTGGTTTTAAACCAGAATCAGATTTCTCCGATGCCAAGCTTATCACCCGCATCATATTCCCCAGTAAGTCTGGAGGTCTGACACAGGTAATGGGCTTTAACATTTGGCCACAATACTGAAATAAAATGGATATGAAAGGAAAAAAAGAGGTCAACAAGAATCATCTGTGTACTTTTTCTCTGACCAGCTATGCAGCCACCGATTACCATGGTTAGTACACTACATGAGAAACAATGGAGTATTAAGGAACTTCCAGTTGTGAAGTCCTGTAAATTATTTAAAAACTTAATTCTAACAAATTATAACACAAGATACATGCAAGGATATGGTAAATATATATGGCTGAATTTTGCATTCTACTTTTAAAATATTCATGGTGTAAGTTCAAGCAATCTTAACTAATTAACTGCAGTAAATAACTGTCAAAAAATTAACCAGTGCTTTTAGTTGATTATCACAGTTCTCAAAAAGGATATTACATCATTCAATACATGACTTGGTAGATTTAAAAAAAAAAATTCATTACGAAGACACTGAAAAATTCAACTTCATTACGGTAATCACAAATGTGCATGAAGGAATTCAATCTCACCTGATCAGCAGAAACTTTTAAGTTAAACAACGAAGTAAATAAATCAGATACATTTATATACAAGGAGATGGGTGAATAATTAAAGATATTCTGTAAATATTAAAAGTTGTTTTTATCAACATTACACTGTATATCTTCACATGCTCTCTCAATTATATCCTATTAATTTTCTAATATCTTAAATTATTAACTACCTATCAATGTTGTACACGTTTACATGTTAAAGAAGGTGTGAGGAAGTCATACACACGAATAGTTTTTTATACTAAGCTGCGAACACAAATTCATAATCTATAAAGATGAAAGAATTTTATTTCTATGTTCCGAATTTCTCTATGAATATTACGGGAAATGCTCTGATCACAAAACTTCCTACATTCAGTCCGTCGTGTATAATGAAATACATAATTTCTAAAACGTGCATGCGACTTGATTCATATTTCAAAACAGCCTCACTATGGCTGTTATCAACATCCAAGATTTGAAGACTGGCAATGAATGAACTGTATCATTACTGATGTAAGTTCTCCTTTCATTAACCACTGAACATGTCAAGGTTCTCTGGAGTCACAATTTAAATTTTTTGATGAATCCCCTCTGAAAATTCCTACTCTAGGCACATCTTTGAAAGGAGCATACCTTAAACTTCAATTTATGACACAGTGAGCTTCTATAGAAGGAAAGTAAGGTTTGAATGAGGTTTCTTCTAAGACTCGTAAAATTCTGCAGCTACCATAGGCACCACATAGCATTCTTATTACACTTCTGAAGCTCTTGAAATTAAAGTTTTCCAACTTTCACCATACCTACAGTTCAAGCAGTCCAGAGTATTATTACTTAATTCTGTGATGATATTAAGTTAGTAACATAATATCTGCAGTACCAATTTCTTAATAGCATATTTTTAAGATCGAGAACACTACTGACACAGCAAAAAAAAAAAATCAAGCTGTCAATACTACCCCTGCGTAAGAGCCCAAATTTATAAACGGATCCATATACACAGGAAGTAAAAGCATCTCTCTCTCTCTTTTCCGTCTGAACGCGCACACAAACACACTTGTAAATTCCCACTGCTGAAGAACTCTAAATGGAGACTTGATGCCTACATCTTGAAGACTGTAGCACCTTCACTTCTTCTAACTGAAACAACAGACAAATACATCCAGGAATGGGGAAAAATAATTCCAAACACCAAGGAAGAGTATTCATATCAAGATTAAATAGCTTTACGTTATTCTGCAAGTGAGCATTACTCTTCATGCACCATTCCCGTATGGTGGAAAACCAAGCAGTAAATTCCAAAACACTTCTGAAAAAGCAACAACAATGATCATATCACCCTCACCGCAAGACTACATTTGAAAGTGTCTGCATGGCTTATGTTTACACGCGTACAAACGCCATGAACACTACTGATTTGAAGCTACAGTGAGACATAAAGCAGTAATAAATTGGCTGAATGTCAGTACGCAATTGCACAAAATTTATTTATGTTAGCTTTATTAAAATTCTTGAGTTACACCCAAGAATTTGTTGTGAAGGCGAACAAAAGCGGAAAAGCAAAACGAGAAACACGTTTTAGTAAGTTCAACAGTAAATGCTCTATATTACCAGTCCCTTACATTTAATCGTAAATGGATGATTTATCTTCCTGTCAGTACACAAATTGAAATTATTATAAAACATCATTTTATGACAACTTCCTTCTTAGTAATTTGTGAAGTAGAATACAGACACAAGAAACAAATCGCACATTTTGTATTTCAACCAGAATGATACCATAATCACTGTTGTTGCCATTTCATTTTACTGAAATTTAATAAAGCCGGATTGTGATGTGTAAATCTCGTCTTAACAAGAATTTCTTTTTGGAACGAATCTTACCAGAAGCAGAACTCACTAAATCACATATCATTGTTTATCTTCTGAGATGTAACACTGTGCAGACTACTAGTAAACACCAATGTTTCAGAGAAACACCAGCGTTTACCTACAAGTTCATGTCCATACAATGTTACAATCCAAAAGACCACCACTGACATCGTCACCACGAGATCTTTAAGTCCTATAACTTCACTAACACTTATATTAATTGAGTACTCAAACTGTCCTCTAACATAATCCATTTTCCATCTGTGTTGTTTAATGACTACAAATTGGAACATAGAAGGAAATACCACCTTGAGTATCCACCCCCTGGTGGCTGGGTCAGTCGCGGCTGTGGCCGGACTTCTTACCCAAGGCCCTCTCCCTCTCGGCGGACAGCGCTGAACGAGAGCTCGAAGAAGACCGCCTCCTATGATGAGATCTCTTGCTGAGGATCGGTGACCTGGACCTGGAACGGGAGTACCTTCCTCTCTTGTTCCCTCGCCGACTATCATGTCGCTTGGACATAGACGGAGAACTAGAGCCCGATGAGTGTCGCGTCTGCCTCTTGCTTCTGCCAAGCTTCTTGTTGTTTCTGCTAACTGGTGAGCGACTCTCACGCTCGTGTCTATATGCGCGTGGCTTTGTATTGTTACTGCTATTTCTCCTCTCACTGTCACGGCTCTTTCTAGACCTAACATCTGATTCACGTCTACTGCTGTGCCGTCTATCGTCCTTGGATTTTCTCCTGTCATTGCTGTCCCTACACCGACTAGTGTCTGACCTACTTCTGCTCCTACTCCTACTATTCCGACCCCTCTGCCTGTCCCTCCTCTCCTTCCCCTTCCTGTCCTTGTCAACAAATTCCCTCTTCCTGTCTTTACGACTATTCAACTTTTTGTCAGATTTCTTGTGATCACTATCAGGGCTACAACTACGTTTCCTGTGACTGTTACCAATATTCCTTTTCTTTTCCCGCCTACTTGATCCCCCCATACTTCTGCTACTTTTAGAGCTCCTCTTTGAACTTTGCCTACTCGCTGAAGAACTAGATCGAGATGAGCTACTCGAGTCCGATGAAGACGAACTATCAGAATTACTCTTTGAACTTGTTTCATCATCATTTTCCTCTGAACTCGCACTGCTTTTTTCACTCTTTTTATGACGTAATGGTGATGTTTCACCCCTCCTTGGGGACTGTTTTATTTTCCTGTCTAATTTAGAATTATCAGCATTTCGGTCCGACTTTCCTTCAACATCACGGGAAGACTTTCTTATTGCAAGAGGGAATGTAAACAGATCCCTATTAGATGTATTTTGTATTTTATCTTCGTGTTTTATACCGTCCTGTGGATGCAAGGTTTTCGGCTTTTGGTCTTGTTCTTCTTCCTCTTCAGACCCTAAAATTATGGTCAGTCTGTCAATGGTTGTAGCAAGTGTTGCACTGAGCTCTGTTGAGTTGCAAGTTTTATAAAATGTAACACATAGCAGGCAATCAAAGGAACATGTGTTCTTTGCACAACACACACCTCTGCTTCTCATGCCACCAACCACCAGACTACAACTCAATATAAAAAGTTTTTATTATGGCAGTATACATGAGCACAATAAAACCTGTTTAAAATAGGATCTTCGCAATGCAATTTTTCTTTCAAAGATAATTAATAATAATAATAATCTTTTCAATGTTATGACATCAAACTTCTAGTCCTCTGACCCGTCTCTTCACTGTGCTAGATTAAAACGCTGCTCAAAAAGTACAGAACAACGTTTATCATATTTTCAAGTGAAATTACTGATTACTTACATTTCATACCCAATAAATGTTTAAAGGAAGAAATTCATCTATATTTCTATGATTAAAATCATCAGTAATCAATCATCTCATCATTACACAGCATATTATAAGTAGCTACAGAACAGAACTACATGAAGGAGAGTAGCCGTTGACAAGCTAATGCTATGTTCAACTAGCCAAGAAATTCCCCATATTTTACAAAACCTAAAGGTTCATTACTGTGTTCACAATGGCTCGTCACGGGTCACTATCCTGACCAATATGGATCTAATCCACACTTCCAAACCATATTTCCCTCTGATCCATTTTATCATCATCCTCCCATCTATACCCAACTCTTGCAAGTGGTCTCTTCCTTTCAGGCTTACCAACAAAAATTTTATATGCATTTCTCATCTTCCTCAATTTGAAGACTCTTATAACATTTGTTACGTGTATATGGTGCTGTATGTGTGTTATACACAGAAACTATTTTCCAGAAAAGAGTATGATTTTTCGTGGTTTATCGTTAGCCTTTCACTCAATACACGTTGTGTTTTGTTGTTTGCTCATTTGTGCAAGGTTTAAAAAATCAAGTGATCACTAGGTTTAATAAGACTGTAGGATGAGTCATTCTCCATGGTCTATATTAAGAATTTAATTTAATTACCTACAAGAACCTCAGAAAAATACCCATGAACATTTCTGATGAGGTGATATAAGGTATACACCAAATCACCGAGCATCAAACATTTCTTTTGTGGCAAATGTAACTCTGATATAAACTGTTGCAATTACTTGGCAGCACTGATATGCTTTGGATTATTCAAGCACAGAAGGAAAATGATGAAACATAACGGAAATAGTTTTCATCCTCAAGCATAATTGTACTTTTCTGCAGAATTTGTAAGTCAAAAATCAATATTAGTCAGAAGATGGCACATCTGTACCAAAAAATTAAACAGAGATAATAAAGATTTACTTTAAAAAAAATCAGAATTACACCATACAAAACAATCTCCACGCTATTTAACTCGCAAAACTGTTTACTGCGCACGGTTTTATGTTATGGCACGTTTGCCGTCCTGACGTCTCAGTTAACATCACACGTGAACTTACAACCGGCAGCAGTGCAATATCCAATATTGTACAAACATTATATGCTTAGAGGAATCTGAGTTCAGAATGTTGATCACTGTACCTTGAAGGCCAAATCGCATCCTTCCTAAGTGTACAAATAACCTGCACACCCATGATGTTATGGCAAAACAATATGAAGATGTTGTACTCACCCTTTTCCGCAGGATGTTTTGAATCAGTTTGGTTTTCTACCTGTCTCTCTTCTATGTCACTGTCCTCACTTCCCTCACCAATCAAGCGCCTCTCCTTGTCTTTCTCTCGCTCCTCCTCTTCCCGAAGCCTTGCCTCTATCTCCCTCTCCGTTTTCACGAAGTCTATCTTCCGTCTCTGGATCTGATCCTATCAAATCCACATTGGAAAACATATACATCCCTGGTTCCCAAGCTTCAGTTGGTTGCGTGCTTAATTGTATTCAATGTTTTGGTGAACAATTCATTCGGTATATTGGAAAATCCAGGGCGTCATCACTCAACTAACCAGAGGGCTTCAACACTGTTAGTAAGACTGCCACTTTATGAAATATTATTTAGCATCAAGCTAACTGATTTTGTGAATGTACGGATTCATACAAAAATAATTTTTCATGACTATGATTGACAAAATAACTGTTTACCCGCAGTAATCCTACTTACCCTCAATTCTTCATCTGAGTCAGCCCCATTAGCTCGGAGGGGAGTGTTGTTACCGCTCGCATCATCGCCACTGTCTGAATCCTCACTGTCACCATACATCCCGAGACCTGCATGTGTGGGATTTCCATTTCTCAAAATATCAATGCAGTTCCACAAGTGCCTTAAATTGTTCAGTAACATTTACATACATCAACACACCGAATTAAAAACACTGCCGTTTCCGTCAGCCACTGATCGTGCTATGCCAACAATTTAATGCGAGTGTCAAGAAGTTGAAACTAAATTGTTAAAATCTTGGTAAACAAGTCACAGGGATGTTGTATGAGATTTCTATCATAGGCAACATTACTCCACACTGATTACGTGTTCACATATCTGTATTAAATTGCGATAAACTACCTGTTGGCCCATATTCCCTCTCACTGTCTACAACCATGTACTACAGAGTACGTAGGGCAGTCAAAAAGTTCCCGGAATTCCCGTTTGATAAAAGTACGCAGGACCCGACGTTTCTCACAAAGATCGTCACTGGTGATGAGTCATGGGTGTTTGCCTATGACCCGGAGACGAAGATGCAGTCATCCGAGTGGCACACAGCGTCGTCTCCCCGACCAAAGAAACCACACCTCGTGTGATCCAAGGAAAAAGTGATGCTCATGGCATTCTTTGACATCGACGGTGTAGTACACCATGTGTTCGTACCGCAACCATGGAGGACATCAAATCGAATGCGATGCCCGAACTCCGGAAGATTCCAAACGAAGCCTTCCGCCGGTGCTTCCAACAGTGGCAGGATCGATGGAGCAAGTGTGTGTGTGTGTGTGCAAGGGTCCTACTTTGAAGGTGATTAGGCAAGCGTTGTCATATGTCCTACCATTACAGCGCTACACCACAATTCCGGAAACTTTTTGACTGCCCCTCGTATAACGCCACACCAATATTTCAAAACATGCAGTGTCATAATATAAAACGTTTCCAAGGCACAAGGTATCCACGTTAATGTGATTCTAAAGCTTTGTGGGAATAAGTACTGACTGCCCAATGTCTGGATCAAAAAGCTGTACACTTTGAATGTTGTCATTGTTCGTCTTCTGGGACATAACATCGTGTGCATTTATAGGTAAATACCAATGTTCTGGAAGAACATACTACCTCCATCTTGAGCCCTAAAAGCAGACTGTTCCTCTGAAATGCTGATATCTACCTACAAACCCACAGAAGACCAAAATATATCTTCATCCCTGTGAGAACCTCAAATCCCATCTTTGATGTCTCTGACAAAACCTTCAGCTGAGACATAACTATATTTATTCTGCAAGACCAAGTCCATATCGTTACGTTTGCCATAATCTAAAGGCAACCCTTTCCTTTCACCTGATGACTGCAACAAAGCCATTTTCCAAAAGTCCTTCCATCTTTCCAACCAGACAATATACACATCCACAGAAAATATTCCAAAGATTAAATAAATGATGAGCAATTGTAATTAGTGACCACGGAAGTACGCCACATAACCACGGACACTACCGGATTACTTTCAGCACCCCTGCTTTCTTATTTACTGTTCTCTTTGAATTCAACAGTCAATACTGATTTCAAGGGTGACAAGATGAAATATAATTTTGTTCTTTCACATACGTACAACAATTTCTGCCAATCAGAGATTACGAAGACCATGTGCTTTACAGAAAACAATTTTTATGTTTTTGGAAAACAAACTTATTTTTTATATATTGATGTTAAGATCTTATTATTGGCACAAATAGACACTGGCAAACGAATTTACTGCAAAACTTCTAATATTATATAAAGTATAATCCAAATTCACTGCAATTCTGGGGTGGATAAATGACACAGCGTTAGCTCAACACTGACATAATTACATTGAGACAAAGAGGTGCGAAAAACTGAATGAAGGGACATTACATGGGGTTTCTTAACTAGATGGCTTACCGAACCTGAAGGTTCATCACCGAATTAACCAAAGCCCTCCAACAGACCCTGTCCTGGGCCAACAAAATCCAGTTTCCTTCAACTCCTATCTCCCATAGATCCTGCCTGAGATTATCCTCCTATCTACGTCTAGGTCTCCCCAGCGGTCTCTTCCCCTCAGGCTTCCCAACAAATACCCGGTGCACACCTCTTGCCCCATCTATGCGTGCCACATGCCCCGCCCATCTCATTCTTCTCGACTTAATCACCCTGATAATAATTGGGGAGGAGTACAGATTTTTTAAGCTCATCATTACGCAGTTTTCTCCACGCCCCATCGTCTTCTCTCCTAGGCCCAAATATCCTCCTCAACACCAAATTCTCAAACACCTGCAATCTGTGTTCCTCCCTCTGAGTGAGAGACCATGTTTCGCACCCATACAAAACAACAGGCAAGATTATTTTTTTGTACACTTTAATTTTTGGGTTCTTAGAAATCAGACGGGAAGTCAAAATATTTTGAACTGAGAAGTAGCGAGCATTTCCGGAATTTAGTCTCCTACTAACTTCCTCATGAGCATCATTTTGATTTGTTATTGTTGTTCCCAACATCGCGTCTCCTGCATACAGCAATTAAAACATATATACACAATTGCTCACCATGGCTGTAGCAAGAGAATAATTACAATCCTGTAGAACTACACACTTATATCTCGTTTTCAGATATAATCAGAAACGGGTCACTCACGACTACTTCAAATGATAGATATAAACATTTAAAAATTACTTACCCAGCTTGCCAGTCAAAGATGCTAAAGCCTGGGTCTTCCGCAGTTGCAATGGTGGAGCTTTGTCACAAATATAAATGTTTAGTACAAGGCGATTGACACACATAAAGGAGAAGGAAAGGCGTATTAATTTTGTTCACTAACGGGACCACTGCACAGCGTCTGCAAGTAGCCGTCAGCTACACAGCAGCTTCCTTCTAAACAAATCCATAATAAGTAGAGAAAAACAAACACTTGATTGTAAGAACACAACTTTCTGAGAATTCAAGACTATGATCGTTCTCTTTTTAATAAGTACAGTTGTATCAGTACACTTGATGTTATACCAATGTATACATCGGCAAACATTTGCACATATAAGAGTCTTTTAATGACAATAACTGAGTTTATTGAATGCTGAAAACAGGCGCTCAAAGCAAAATATCGTTACCATGAACAAAGCAGGCAAGATGCTGACAGAAACATTCTTGAGAATACACATTTGATTCTGAGCAGAAATGTGAATGCGTAATTGAAGTTTCTAGTACCTTTCGCTTTTGCTTTACTCAACACTTCCTGTGCTATGGCTTCCATCTCCTCGGTAGTAACCTCCAAGAGAATTTCTGTCAGCGTACGGCGAACTTTCAACATCTGCAAATTGTACAACAAACACAAATTTAGAGCCGAATTTCCGTTCCTAGTGACGGCACCCTCGGTACGACGGGCGGTTCGTGCCTCCCGACATTAACGTCACCGTCGCTGTTTTTCAGGTGTTCAAGATAAATTAAATATATTTTCCAAGTGAAATGGTCATCATCAGGTTCACAAACTGTACAGAATATAAAGTAAGAAATTATGTATACTCACAATTTCCTGCATCACCTCTTCTCGAGATTTTGGTGGTTCTGGCTCATTGCCCGAGAATCTCGCTAAAGGATGATGAGGAGACGAGTTTGGACTGTCTGCGTTTCTAAACCGGGATTTCCTTTTCAGAGAAGACTGTGAGGGAGTTGGGCTTCCCCCACGGTTTGATTCTTCTGAATCACTTTCCTGTAAAAATAAAATTTAAAAATATGATTTCTAACATAATTTGATACAAATTACACAAAATTTTTCACTTTACACAAACTGAGTTACAGGCTTAAAAAATTAATGAAGAGGGATGAAATATTTCATTAACAGATAAGAAAGGACAAGTCAAATCGAGCATCAGCCAACAAACTGCCACCAAAGATATTTTTCTTTGCTAACAGCAAACACAAAATTAAAATACTCACAAATTTGCTTTTCTTTGGAATTACAGGTTGGCCACTATTCTTTTCTAATTCAGTGACAACATTATCTTCCTCTTCTTTTTTCTTTTGTAAATACGCTTCCCTTTCTTTTATCTGCCGTTCTCTATCAATTTTCTTTTGTTTCTCCCTTTCCATTTTCTCAAGACCCTCCCTGATCCATGCAGGTAATTGTCTCCTCTTTGCAGCATCTGGAAACATGACAAGATTATTGTTTTCATATCCTGAAATTTAGTAATTTCTTACAGTGCAGACTTCAATACTTGCAGTTCCGTTAAAGATTCCTCTAAGCAAGAAGAATCTAACATCCCCACTTAATGGTACCTGCACCTTGTTGTGGTGGTGGGGCTTGAGCACCTCAGTGACCCCAAGAGCTACTGGTAGGGCCTCCCTAGCCAGATTGGTCGAGGGGGAGAGGTCAGACTAAGACAGGTACCCTGGTCCTCCAGGTTGGGGGTTGGTCGCAAGGCTAACAACCTTGCACCGTAAAAAGGAAGATGTTTTGAAACCTCAACCAAAGCCTCGGACAGACGGACCTAACTGAAGACTGAGTGGAAGAGGAGAATTGAGGAGGCCATGGACCGAATACGGACCGGAGAACCACAGAAGAAGAAGAATCTTACATAAATGAAATTCATCAGTGAGATAAATGGCACGAAACCATACGTACTGAATGTTACAGGTTACAAGCCTTCAACTGAAAAATATTATATATTGATTACACTACATGCAATACAGTCTCACCAAGAACAGGAGTTGCATCTTCTTCGTCATCCGACTTCTCTGTTGTGCGTATGCGGTCATGTGTACGGTTATTCCTCCTCCAGTCATGTCGGTTATGTCTGATGAAGGGAGACGGACCTGAATCAGGACCCGGTGGCACACCGCCCGTATCTGCCGGCCCACCCGATGTCCAGTAACCACCGGCCACGACCTAACGAACAGAACATTGTATATGGATCTAGCCTCCTTTCTACTCCATAAACAACAAGTTTAGTATCATATCGATATTCTGAATCATGTTGAGAAATTAAGTAGAAAGGTGCGATTCAATCCACGGCATAGATACCAGTCACAAAGAAAGGCAAGTAGCCACGAGATGGGAAACAGAAAATTTGGACCTTAGGAAAACAGACCATAAGGATGGACGTAAATAAACTTGCATTATCAGCATATTTTGATGTTTGTTTTCTTTTTATAGTACAGACTAAATTTCTGTACACCAGTTTAACAAGCTTTGGCATCGATGGATCAAAAACCAGCAGAGGCAGATATTATCAACAAGTCTTCGGTGATATAGCTTACTTGATTATAATGCTCTGATCCGGCCGCATGATTGTAATCATATACACCTGTGCCGCTTCCATATGTCTGAGAATTGTGCGAGAAGCCGTATGGAGGCACTCCAACTGAAGCGCCAGATGTAGATCCCTTTCCAGGCACGAGCGTCTGACTGGGCGGAGGAGGGACGCCTCCGGGCGGAACCATGCCGCCCGTTGCACCCCAATTCCAGCCCCACTGTTGCCAATTAGGCCATGCTCCCCATGAATTAGCTTCTAAACCAAATGTCAATACAGTGTACAATAATAACCAAAGATAACTCAGTAACATTTCTAGACACAACTACATTTCACATTTAACCCACAGAATACAGGAACACAGGATTTAAACAACCATCATTCAGGGCTGCTGGCCAAAATTTAATTTCATGATTTGACAATTTAGTGATACGTTACTGCAGCACATGGCCAGATCTGTAAGGTGAGATGTACGGCCAATAACGGCTAATTTAAATTAGAATGTGATGCATATCTCCACCTGGAGTATTGGATGAATTTGAATTTTCAGGTTCTTCTTTTGTGTCCATGTCCATAGGTGCTTCGCCTCCTTCCACTTCTGGCTCCTTCCTCTTTTCTCCCGACTCTGCTTTGTCTCCGATGGGTGGTGGTGGTGGAGCGGGTGGAATCTGATCCACAGGGTGCGTTTCCTTCATTTGGATCCATTGCTGTGCTAGAGCTGCCCAGTCAACTGATCCAGAAGCAAAATATAACTTAAATGTATTCATACTAAAATACTGACATAAGATGTCACATTAATTTGTGCTCATTAAATTACACAACAATTTATTTTGACATAAATACGTCTATATTTTAGGGTCAGTGTCATTCAGCAAAAATGTGTTACGAAAAAGTGTAACTTCATTGTTATGTTACTTAGGAAACTTAATCTGTTTACTCATCATTGTTGTTACCTAGGAAACGTCATCTGTTTACTTAGCATTGTTATTACCTATAAAACATTACATTACCTTACCTTACATTACATTCAACTACCACAGACCCATTTTAAGCGTAACTAATTCAAATTAAATAAGCAAAGTCTTAATCAAACTTTACTCAATTGTAAAGCATGTATAAAGGAAATATTTAGAATAAAGCCAATATATAAACTTCCTTTCCATATAGACGTATTTACGTCAAATTCTCCGGAACCGTGGTTCCACTATCCACTTTTTTCCTTATGGTACACACGTATCTCACAAAAATAAACTACTTCTATGTTCCTCCGCCACCTAAAAAGTAGTCATAATCACATAATCCCAAACGAGCCCAATTTAAATGCATGATTTTGATGGAATTCAATCTGAGCACTGCATCACTGAAGGCTGTCCAATTTCTTGACTGGGAACAGCTACTGAAGGTTCAACACAGCTAAAGCCAAATACACCAATGAACAACCAATATCCTTATATTGCATCTTAATGTTATCCCTTCATACACTCCTACATTTCTAATTACTTGCTTCTCAATTGATTTTCTCAATAAATCATTATTGCGTGCATTTTTTGCCTCCCCGATCTGAGCTGCACGTGTAGCGACTTTGATAGTCATAGGCTTTCCATTCTAACAATAATGGCTGACCTGTACATATCATTATGTTCCTCATTAACCTCAAATCAACATTCACTGAACTTCTCTCAAATACTTTCCTTCAAAATGAAAATAAACAGTGGCAGAGTTACATACCTTCCTCGTGGGACAAGTTTTGATATGCCGATGGGTTCAAGGCCCACTGGGAATACTGCTGATCCCCTGACCACATGATTATAAATCTTTATATACCTTTACTTTTAGTACATGAACCTGAAAAGTAAAGTTTACTGTAACATAAGTTTAAAATGTATTCAAGTTCATATTATAGAAACCATAACACAAAAAACATCATACCAGCTCCTATATTCAGTTTGTATCTTGCATCCGCAGAACCAGATCTCTTACCATTCCATTCATCTGTTTCTACAAGCCTGTTTTAGCATCTTTCAGAATATTGCATTATTACCAACATGAAGAATCAGATGACAAGCAAAGTCTGAATATACCTCTAACTATCCAGATGGAATTATGATGTATTTGCGACAAAAGCAATGTTTCACAATTACAAAAATGAAAAAGCAAGTTGTCTTTTATCATATGCAAATAAATAATTTAAATTCACATACTATAGGGCCCCTAATTGGTCATTAACAATGTGGTTTACGGTTAAGTTTTGTCTTAGTTAAACATACAGGCAGCTGGATCATGAGTAAGCCGAGACACATGAATGATGTAGGTTAATAATAAACAATTCAAGGTTTCCACTGCATTTGCACCATTCCATGAACACACACAGGCAAGCTTCACTCAGACCAACTATATAACCACAAACAAGACAAACCAACAAATCCCTTGGTGCGAGATGAGAGTCAGAAATCTGCTTTGGATATAGCAATACAGCGACATTGCAACAATATAAACGATATTAAGACTAACAGAAGACAACGTAATCAATGGGAAGAGTTGAAAATTATGTTTAACCGCAGCATATCTTTACAATATTGTTACCAGTTACCTAGCCATCTCAGATTTCATAAAATGAGCAATATACTGATAACAGTGATCTGATGACTGAATCATGAAAATTGCCAGCATTACCAATTACTAAAATTTGAAGAAACCAGCGCCTTTTCATAGGACAAAATGTAATGCTTTGAGGTTCTTCTCCCTCTTGCCTCATTTCAAAATTTTTCATTCTTCTGGCATGTGATTAGGGTCATTGCTTAAATATATAACCATCACCTATGATTAACATTCAATTGAAAGATTACTGAATTTTACAGCTGTAAGAGTCCATGATGTTCTGATGTTTTTATACTACGTGTAAAGAGATGTCTGTAGGAATACCAGCAAAGTGAACACAATTTTCTTTCATTGCCTATGCAAATATATTTTTATATATACATAACAAACCAAAACTGAATTAGTTGGTCTATTTAGTTGAACACAATTTACTCAGAGTACAGTACAGTTCAGTATGAACAAAATATAAATTCTGTCAAAAGTTTAATGATAAATGAAAACGAAGCTCAACTACATGGTCACCATACTGTACTTTTCCTTTAGTTTCCATATACAAACATTCATGTATATGAAAAGAAAACTTTTAGCCAAAGTTAATTTTTAAATGTGAAGCTTGGAAGACATAAAAACCATTGCTCTAAATGCTCAGTGAAGTACACTTTTTTAATAGTATAAGCCCATCATGTACATAAGCAAAGAGTTAACGTACTTCCTTTTTCACTAAACAAACCTAATAAATACACTTTATTTCAAATTAAACAAAACCTTCTCCTGTTACGGAGGCCAAAAGCTAAAATACACCCTCATATATAATTATTTCTCTTTTAACAGAATAACTGATACGAACTTTTAAATGGTGGCCATAATCAAGAACAAGAAAACCGACATACGCATATACTCATCTGGTTGTGAATTCAAACCTTTCAGATGAATACTTCTTGAACTGGATTACTTACACATCATCCAAATGGAGAGAAATGTTGTGTTTCAAAGCAATGGATAGAATGTAATTTAAAATAGTCTAATTCTACACTTAACACGAAACAATAAACAACCAGCTTCAACTTCGATAGGTTCGACCATAGTTTATCGAATAAATTTGCCGGTCTCGACACGATACACTTTGGTGCAGCCAACACACCTTGTCAATAATTAAATTGACAATATGAAGTTTCATGACTACATATTCCCAATATGCGGGAAATAAAACACAAATGAGGAACGTATTCAACAGACTTACTTAAATTTATAATTAATTATATATATGATGAAGTCACTGGTGCATTTTTCCTGGGTATTCCAATGGGAGTTGGCTGCACTTCAAGTATCGGTTATCGAAGGTTATGTGTTTTGTTTTTGTTGTGTGCGTGTATGTATACTATTATTATTACATCTACGAACGTATAGGATTATATGTTACCAAAGACACAGTTAAAATAGAGAAGTGTATGTTTATGTATAACGAAGAAATATTTCCGTGTAGAGACAGTCTTGCTTATTTCATGTGTAAGTTGTGTTCTTTGTTTGGGGTTAGGTTAAATGATTATCAATACTATAGTAATAATAATGCTTACTGGTTTAGTGTCTGAATCATTAACATATAAAAATGAGGTTAAAGTCAATACATATACAGCGTCAAAATTTTAAGCCATGTTAAACAATACTTTTATACAGAAAATATTTCAGTTTATGTTTTGGAGGAAGTATCAACAAAGGTCATACTATTAATTTAGGTTGAGAGCTATAGGTTAAGAAACAACCTTCTGTTAATGTTCATAAATGCTGCCACTGCATCCTGTCCCAAGCCAGCTGAATTCTGTATGTCCTTATATTCTAGTTCTTTGTTTGCCTAGAGCTTTTTTCTCATTATGTTTTTCAGTAAGTATCTTGTATGCATTCTCATCACTCTTATGCATGCTACATATATCCTCCTGTCTTGCCCGTAAGAATATTAGATAGAGTACAAATCGTGAAACTTACAGTTGTTATTTTTACCAATATCCTGTTACTTTCTTTTTCATACAAGCAAATATTCTGAGTAGAATATTAAAAACTACTACTTTCCTTTCAGTTGATTTTTCCAAGTAAGGAATGGCTACAAATCTCAGTGGGAATTTGGGGCAACCTCAGAATGCTGTCACAACCATAGGCAATATTGCACCTGCAATAGGAGTAGTAGGAACAGTCCCCAGCCACCTCTCACAACGGCCATCGACACCACAGCAGCACACTGATACAGCAATGGAAGTAGATTCTGCAATGCAAACTGTAGGTGAAACCTTTTTAAGCATCTGGAAATGAAAATTCATGTAGCTGATATAAATAAATATCATGAGGGAGGGTAGCTCCGTCAGTCTGTACTGACTACATACCGGATGACCAGAGTTTGATCCCTGGCAAGTGCAAAGGTTTTTTCCTCCAGCCTCCTATCATACCTGAACATTCCCTTGGGATAAAGTGGCCAGGATTGATCATTTGCATTCACGTCTTTTGTACGTACAAAGCTCACCATCACTTTGAACAGAATAATTACACAACTAAGAATTAAAGAAAAAAAGAACATATATAATTATTTTTAATTTTTAAGCGTATATTTTAGGGCTTTTGGAATGACATGCATGGATCACTCCTCTGAATAGCCAGTTACCCATAGGTTGTCATCTCTATCCGTAGTATAAGGAAGGGATGTGTATTGTTGTGTGTATATTACTAATTATATCATCATGATATTCTTTTGTTAGTCTCTGGTTCCATCAGCGCATGTAAATAACTCCTCTACTCCAGTACTGGGTAATCTTCAGTCAGTAGTAGGATCTGGTATGAGCAACACTATTTCCACCTCATCTGTTGTGACAATGTCGTCGCATCATTCTCCTTTAGCAACGGCCCTGCAAAGCGGAAACAGCGGCACTCTGTCTTCCAGTAATACCATTGGAACTCAGGTCAAAAGTTTATCTACAACTTCCGCAGCCTCCTTAACAGCAGTTCCACATGAAGTTCAGGCTCAGGTAATTTTACTGTATTCAGAATATCGCACGAGTTGTTGTGGTCATTGTTCGAAAGTCAATAATCCGATTTCCTGTTCGGTTTCATGTTGTTGGTCACTCTGTTCAAGAAACATTGCCATTTTCTTACAAATCCATCATTAGGACCCCAGAAGATCAGAGTCTTCTGGGATATTACGGAATTTATTTTGGTAGAAATAGACTCACGTTTCAGAGGTGCTTGCTGCCTCCATCATCAGAGCCTGATAATGGTGGCAGCAAGCACCTACGTTGTATTGTAGTTTTCAGTAACAATATGGAAGTTAAAACTTCACTTCAGATGCATTAAAATTTCATTTTGCAGATTCTGACTCGTTCCCGTCTTCAAGACTTGGTCCGTGAAGTAGATCCAACAGAACAGTTGGACGAAGATGTGGAGGAACTTCTTTTACAATTGGCCGATGACTTTGTGGAGTCGACAGTCGGTGCCGCGTGTTTGCTTGCCAAACACAGGAGGGCTTCTACTGTCGAAGTAAAGGATGTTCAGCTCCATCTTGGTAAGTTGGGTGCCTCCTGTTTTGCCATAATGTCGGGAGGCGAGAACTGTTGAAGCAAAACGATTACTACACAATGCAAACAGTGATTGCCATTGCCAATTAAAATACTTAAATTAGTCAGTTCAAAACAGTTTCCATTTATTCTATAACTCGTGGAAGATCTCTTTTCATTTTCGGTCAAACGACTCTTCAGAATTTTGGTTATTTGCTCACTAGATGTCAGTGAAGCGACTGAAGACAATTGAGGGAGCATTTTACTTCTTATAGATACCGAATAAAATATTCTCGGGCTATCAGCCGTGTCAAGCAATCTCGTCTTTGAACCATCTGAGGCGGCTGATCGCCCGATAAGATTTTATCGAATTACATCGCTGTGAAAGCTTCAAATTCTTATCGATAGTTTCCTTGCATATATCATATTCTGATTTTTACATAAAACCTGAAAACTCTTGTTCTAAAAATTAAAGTAATTAAATTAGAATCAACATTTGAAAATTGACAGTGTGAATAGCTAACCGTACTCTGTATCAAGAAATTATATAAAAAAAATTGTCTTTTGTGTATTTTCAGAGCGAAACTGGAATATGTGGATTCCAGGTTTCGGAACAGACGAACTACGCCCGTACAAGAGAGCAGCAGTGACCGAAGCCCACAAACAGCGGCTTGCGCTGATTCGAAAAGCACTAAAAAAATATTGAACTTTTATGTTGTTGTTTTTTTAGGAAATAATAAAGAAATTATTGCACATGGGATGACGGAACGGTGACTGATTTGTCCACATTTTCATCTGCCGACTTTATTTTTGCATCATAATGTATACAGTCAAAGGGAGCGCTTCTAATCTTCACAATATCCGGTTTCTTTATCTGTCCGAGATCCTCGCTGTGAATAATCATCGTCATTTAAGGGATCCTCAACAGTCAAGATACTCACATTGCTTAAGTTTCTTTGTCAAATGCTGTACATAGTGAAATAAAATATAGTAATGCATTATATATTTTCGTGTGTCTGCTACTTCCTTCATCGCCGTGAATAATATCGAAATATCATTTATGCTGCGTTGGTGTCCGTCTCTGTACTCCGTTACTCTTGGATTTAAATTATTTTAACAAATGAGAAAATTTTGTAAGAATTAATGAAGACGATTACGGTATTCGACGCAATTAAATTTCCAGCCTCGTGATCCACCAGCCATTTCCCCCTCTGGTTATGAAACCTGAGAGACAAGGCGATATTCAGACTGGCCCAGTAGCGTGCATTATTTTGTCAGGCCTAACGTACACTAACTAACTAACTAACTAGATGGCTTACCGAACCTGAAGGTTCATCACCGAATTAACCAAAGCCCTCCACCGGACCCTGTCCTGGGCCAACAAAATCCAGTCTCCTTCAACTCCTATCTCCCATAGATCCCGCCTGAGATTATCCTCCCATCTACGTCTAGGTCTCCCCAGAGGTCTCTTCCCCTCAGGCTACCCGGTGCACACATCTTGTCCCATCCGGGCCTAACGCACACACAGATCATTAATTTTTGAAAACGTCGTTTCATGACATGATTTTAATTATGTGTAAGATCACTCGAGAATCATAGCTTTTTAACTTTGCTCATTTAAATAAAATTTATTTAGACGAGCTTACTTTTTTTTTACCCTATAATAAGGGGTGTCCATAGATCGGATGCTCCTTACAGCAGTAGCCGAATAGCTTTGTCATTCAAAAGGAAAGTTGTTCCTGACGCTTCAATCGAAATATCTCGGACCTGGTTACATATCGGAATGAGGAACACGATTACGTAAAGCGATGATACTAGATGCGACTATTCTGCTGTAATGGAAATTTAACAAGAAGAGTCACGAATCACTGACGACCGAGTAAAAGCTGTGTCAGGAAGACAGAGATCGAAAAAGAGCGGGCGATATACGAGACCGTTCGCCCCGTAGTGTAAAGTTTCCTGACCGCCTTTCGCCACAGAACGGCGATCACACATCCGACCCCTTTCACCAGGAACATGTCGAATTTGAAGACGAGCAACGAAAGGGTCAAGGGTCAGGCTTTCCCTGAAGCTAATCATGACACGGCACTACGATACACAACTTTAAAACCTTTAAAGGTACTGACCCTTCCGGACTGAATTAAATTCGTGTCTCCAGGAAATAAATATTTTCCCATCCTGTCTTACAAAAAAGATACGGAAGAATTTTTGACTTTTAATCAACAGAAATTATGCGTTACTTCTGAAACATATTAATTAAAAAAAATATCGTTAACGAAGGCTTCGTAAAATCTTTAATCGAGAATAATGCCGGAAGCAACTTTTTAACACTGCTAAACTCTAGCAGATTCGTTGTTTGGAAGAAACCAACTTCTTACTTTCCTACTTATGATGGTTTACTGGACACTCAGGAAGAAGGAACAGAAATAACTGGAGAGTTTTGAAATGTGGTGTTGGAGAAGAATAGAGAAGATCAGGTGGACGGATCGAGTGACCAACGAAGAAGTATTGAGGAGAGTCAACGAGCAAAGAAGCATTCTGCAGGCGATTACACGAAGGAAAGCTAACTGGCTGGGACATATTATGAGAAGGAATGGATTAATGAGTGATATCACCGAAGGCCAGGTTGAAGGAAAGAGAGGACGAGGAAGAAGATTGATACAGCTAACCGACGACAGTTCGAAAACTGAGGGTAGAAGATGAAGGCAGCAGGTTCCTCAGAAGCTTTGGTAACCTATATGATTATATGCAGTCACATCCCAATACATCTCAGCCTTCTATTGTTTCGAAAAACACAATTGTATTTGTGTAACAGAGCAAATAAATTTCCCTTCTGAAATTATAACGGTGGTAACTTTTTGTAGCCGTGGTTACATTTATAACGGACAGCAGTACAAGTCTGATCTGCAACTTCCGGTCTCTGGAGTGTTTCGATAATTGTGATCGAGACAGATTTCTTTATGGTACATAAATTATAGGTACAGCACTGATCTAGAGTCGTGATACCTCTCACCGCTCTGAATCACGATCTTGCCAGGAAGGCTGCATTTTTCTGCACACACGCCTGTTATGAGATTGGACAGACTCCAGGGAGACTCTGGCTAAGGACTTACTATCACACAGACTGCCTGAATAATTTATAAATTAACTAGAAACTATAGTTATGCCCAGGGATGTGATCTTTTATGTGCTGGAGCGTAGGTTGAAAGCAATGGTTATGAGTCTGTCCTCATTATTTCATAATTGTTTTACAAATGTAAACGTAAAACTGAATTATAAGCGCGTATACGAATTGTTCGTCTCAAAAAATGATGTCGGAAATTAAACAAGCTGACGGGACACAATTATTTTAGGTTTCCAATTCAGGGGTATTCAATAAGCCTTGATAAAATAATCCAGGTTGTTTTTATTAATTTGTTTAAAGTCGACTGAAATCAAACGATTATTCCGAAAACATTAAATAAACTGAAACGAAAGTTTAAACTAATCATAATCTGCGTGAACCTAAATTCTGACAGCGGTTTGCATCCACGCGACCCGAAGTGACATTCATTTAATGTTATTTATTTTCTGCAATCAAAAATTCCCTCTTCCTCTACACCAGATGCAATGGTTATATCGCCATGACTCGGTAGCCAGGAACTTGTTGAACCACCCCAAGGCCGCCATTAAACTACACTGCAACTATCAGACGTTGCCATGACTACCGTGACATCTCTTCGACTGCCTCACGGGTTCCCGTTGACACATGTGATTCTGTCACGAGGAGCCTTGAGTTTGAGCCCAGACACGAGAAGAATATACTTTCAAACTCAGACAAAGACTGTGGAAACTGACATCAAATCTATCAGGCTGTTATATTAAACAAACAAACAACTAATTATTAAAAATAAATGGAGTTGCAAAAACTTCAAACGGAATGTAAGTGTTGTGGCTAATTTGTCATAACAATATTCCTGTAGAGGTCAGTAGAGTGGTTTTTTAATGACAGAATGTACGCCTGTCTTTAGTGACAGAAATGTCTTTCTCTACAGCTCGTTTAATTGGTAACCACACGAAGAAAATGTCAGTGTGTCACTTTTACTCCAACCCGAAAGGAAATCCCTTACTGTATTTAGGTTAATCGTGAATCACAACTCTTTAATACCAACAGTCACTGATCCAGTGCTTACCAATTACAGAATTCTAGGGCAAACCTCATGATTATTACATTTTTTTTTGTAGTTTCGCCGACAAATAATTAACCTCGCATTCAAGTCTCCAGACCTCACAGCAGAATTTGGTTCACGTGTCTTTTACCTCCAATGACGGAGATACGAAAATCCCTGACTATCCGATCAGTGAACCAAGTGACTTTCTGCGTATTCAACTAACAAACTTACTGAATTCTGATGTGGATCTTCTGGGTAGTAAAGCAATACGGACTTGTAAGGTAGGAACATACTGCCTCCATGTTCAGTCCTGAATCATATATCGATTAAATAATAACTAATCTGAAGGGAGATGGTAGTGGACTACATTAAGGTACCATCCGTGTTTTCCCTTGGAGGGACTAAGGAAAACCATGTTTATGATAGACGGTGTTAAGGTGTGGTAACCACTCGGAACATGCCACGGTGGTCTAGCGGTTAGAACGCTGGCCTTGTAATCCTGGGGGTCTCGGGTTCGATTCCTGGCGGTGCCCGAATTTATAACTTGTGTTGGGCAAGGCCGTGGTCTAGGCAACACGGAGTTTCCCTCCGTGGCATCCCAACAATTACTCAATTCACACACAGAAGAAGGCAATGGCAAACCACTTCTGGATCATCTGCCAAGAACGTATATGAACAGGTCCCAGTCCGAAAAAAGGATGGAAGGATCCTGTTCATATGGACCTGTCGTCACACAGAACACTAAATAATAATAATAATAATAATAAAACCACTCGGTCGTAATGGTGTGTGGTGTAGAACAAGTTCGTTTGTGGTAATGGGATCTGAACAGGCCTTTGGGCTAACCTGCTAGGCGCCGAAGAGACTGGGTCGGGAAACCTCAGGCTACCCTGGTTACCGATATATATCTTACTTAGAGCTGCGCCAACAGGTCCATTATAAATTCAATGGATCGTGTAACGCGTGTAGTCCACACACGTTCTATCACAAAAGTCATGCTTAACTCGATTCCAGGTTCTTCGCCAACGCCGTTAATCTTTGCCGCTGGAGGTCGTCAGTCTGTCAGCCACTGGGACCAAGATACTTCCACGCGATATCTGTTCAGGAACGCAATGAACATTCTCGGAAATCTAATTTCGAACCGTGCGAACAGAGGGACCGAGTCGCTCTGAACGGAAACTTAAAATACGCGACTGAAGACTTTAGTGCAAAAATGATTCAACTGCAACTGAACATACTCTTCGGAAACAAAAAAAGTAACTAAATCCACGGAGTCTAATATATTTTGATGCAAGTGAAATCCAAAGCTTCATTACTATCAGGCCTACGGTCCTAATCCTGAATCCAGTCTACATCTTACTTACCCTATTTTAAGATCCTTTTTAATATTATCATCCCGTCTGCGCCTAGATTTCCCAGGTGGACTCGTATGTCCAGACTTTTGATTATAAATTGTGCACATTTTCACATTCCCCCATGCGTACCAGATGGCTCGGAGAACCAACCTTGATTTCATCACCCCTAATAACATTTGGTGAACAGCAAAAACGATAAAACTTCTTCTTATATAATTTTATCCATTCTCCTGCTGGGCATACTTTTTGGCATTTTTATTCTTTAATGTAACCAAAGAATGCCTCATGGGTCCATGTTCATTATATTGTTTCAATAATGACCTTGGATACCTTTCTTGCATTTTTCATTCCGTTGGTAACCCTGCTGACGTCACTACGCGTGATATGGCGGGAAGAAAACTCCCTTGGAATTTCAGTGTGCTCAAAAGAGTAAACTTTTACAACCTTGTTTCTGTCGGCTCAAAATATTCTCCTCAGTTCCATGGGCCCAAAACACTCTCAGTTTATTCCTCCTTTAATGTAAGAGACCAAGAATCACACCTATACAAAACGACAGGCAAAATAATAGCTTTACAAACACGGCACTTAAGTTATGTCACTTAGTTCAACAAACACATGAAACATTTTTATTTTTCGACAAATTTGTGTTATAATCGATATCGATGTTCGTAAAAAGATTAAATCTGTTTGCAACCGGACTTTCTAGCGTAATTTTATAAATTATCAGGAACATGGGAGTGTCCTTTCAGTTGCGACACACGCCCTTTCTGCACGCAATCTTTAAATTGAATTGTATTATTACATGTGAGCGTTTTAGGTACACGGTTGTAACCTACATGGAGCTGAAGTACTTTCATAATGGAAATTCCCACACTTTGAGAAGCAGTGTCATAATTTAAGGGCAAGTCACAAGAAAACGTAACTTCTAGTCCAAAGAAGTCAATTATAAAAAGATTTTTCCTTACTTATCACACAGACAGAAATTATCGTGGTAATGCTGGGAACAACAGTTTCGCAAAACAGCGTAAAGCCAGACGAATAAATCGACTGCAATTCATTACGAAATGGCTGGTCGGGAATTACAAGCCTATTAAATCAACTAAACAACAATAATTATCTGAAATATATTACAGTTTAGAACAATTAAGCAACCTAAGCTCCCAACACGCCAGACCGTGGGCTAAACACTACTTAAAAAATTCGGCACGTACCTCAAAGAGAACCATACACGTCTCCATGACAATGCTCAGCTGGTTAACACTGTTTATTCTGAGAATCATATGGAAAACATAGTAACCAATGGGATTTTAAGGGGCTACAACATTAAATTTCAATTAAAAGTTGATAAAATATGACTACATACTCTTTGTCTCCAGCGGTAACGAGTTGTACCTCCACTCCCCCCATACGTCTGCATGGCGTGATGCTTAGTTAAGCACCAGCGACAACTTTGTAAATTTTAAAGGGGTCTGACGATGATGTGTTACGTTCGGGGTTATTGGATGCTGTTAAGGCTTTGACCGGGATGTTCTTTTGTTAAATCTTATGTGGTACCGCCTGATTCAACTTCTAATGGTTAAGTGAAGTGTTTTCTTCGCGGTACGGTCTGGATTCGTAAATATTATGAAGACGAGCTTCGGCTTCAAAGGGTTAACCAGCTGATTTTCGTAATGGTGAGGTGTAGTGTTTTCTTCGCGGTACGGACTGAATTCATAAATAATATTCAGACGATCTTCGGCTTCAAAGGGTTAATAGATTTTGGGCCTTATTAGATAATATTTACGATCATCTGTGTTTACTGCCTTAGATTTCCCCGTAATTCTTTACGGGCAATTTACCATTAAACCTATAAAGGTTGATTAATTTGTTATTTTGCCTCTAATCCTTAATTCTGACAACAACAAAATGTTTTTAAGCTGGGACAAAACACCGATGCTTGCAGACACTCCTTACAGTTTCCCACCAATTCATTGGGCGTCTCGGCAAGCCTGGGGGTAAGTACAGTCATCGGCCCTTCAAGGCGAAATGCAGCAGTGGAGCTGAGTGCCGAAGGTCCTCAGCTCGTGGTACATCCGGGGCCTGCGAGGTCCAACACCTGCTCCCATTACTGGCAATGACCAACTTATCCCCGATGTTTCGTAAGACCTTGTAACAAACGAAGAATTTGCTCAACAAAAGTGCCACACCGCTCTCCGTGAGGGCATTTCCCCTGAAGTGTGTGAATGGGTGAAAGTGTTTGGGGGTACCCCTCCACCCGCATCGTATCCGACTCAGCTGAGGTCTCTCCTGCCTGCCGGCCTGCCTTCTGAAGGCAGTGTCTTCATCTATCACGGTGAGTCCAGTTCACGGGCAGCCGACATGACAGTGCCGTGTGTTAAGAGGTACAGCGTCTCAACACTCGTGACGCTAGTGTGTCTGCTAGCATTTGTTTCGGCAGGCACGCAGGATAACATCGAAAAGGTAATAAATCATACCACATGCATAGAAAAAGTGTCAGAACGTGTAATCTAATCAAGTTCTGTACATTTTTCTTTTTTCCAAATTTCCTCAGATTTTATATGTTACCGGAAATACCTGAACTAGTTTGTCCTACGCAAAACTAGGAACGCTGTCTAGTAAAATCTATTTTAGAAGGATTTAGGGGATGTTCTGTAACGTTTACGGTCTTAATGGAGCAAGGGTATTCAAAAACAGACATCAGAAATTATTTTTTTCTCCGTGTTCTGTTAAACATTCAAGACATGAATAATTTTTTTGTACGATAAACAGTTTTTTTTACAGTTCCTTTAAATTTTATGACTAGGGCTAAAATGAAATTAGCTCAATTATATTTAGTGACGACACCCTCCATACATACCAGATTTAATCAAAATGTAGTTCAGTTCTCTCAGAGGCAAGGCAAGCGAGATGAGAATAACACAAGGTCTTCAGCAAAGGTAAATAATTATCGGCTGTGCTAACATACACATTATTTTTACACGGAGATACCTCTCTGTGCATTCAAGGCCTGGACATTAATTTCAGGTTAGGTTATCACCTTCATGTTTTTTCCGCTCCAAAGAAAGCGCCTGTGGCACCCACTGGAAACGATTTTGGGATTCCCCGAGGCAGATTTACATATAGCGGTAACTAACAGAAAATTTACTCCGGCTAGATTTGCATTTCAATTGTAACATCTGAAATCTCAATCCGTCTGCTACCTTTTATCGTGTTCACAAGAGTCTGCCATGAGCCTTACACTGTATGAATTCAGCTCACCATATTTATTTAAATTAGGTTTTAACATTACCCTGCGTCCTATTCCCAGATTTACAAAAATATTGTCTCTTCGTTTGAAGTTTTCCGACTAAAAAAAATTTCTACGTATTTTCGAGTCGCGGGAGGACTTTGTACATCCTCCCCCCCGGGCCTGTTCGCTGTTCACGAACTGCAAATTCAGATGCAAGAACGCCAGAGAACGCTGCTCCAAGCGAAAATGTCCTAACTTCTTTCTAATAACTAATCGATCGCATGTTTCGATTTCTGCTGAAAACAAACCCTCAGTTTCCGGGTGATGGTTAAGTACCTGCTATGTGAACAGCACAAAGAACCGGTCCAGCTCTTACGTAATTACTCAGCATCGCGTCTCTCCAGCCACCCAGTATAATTCTTGGATTTCCTCAGTACCAAGGAGAAACTTCACCAAACTGAAAGTATAAAACCCAGGTTTAGGATTTGTATTTAGATGTACCCTCGTCGTGGTTACTGGCTATCCTGACTGACGATTAACTTGGTTTATTACACTCATATTCCTCGTTATACTTCAGTGACGTCTAATCTGCGTGTGAGCATCAGCTATTAGAAATTAATCAGCACGAGATAAAAAAAATGGCTACACCACCAGAATTCAATTTACAGAGCCCCGTTTTGTGGCAACCGATTTCACTACTCTAAGATCAAAAATTTCATTGGGGTTTCCGATCATGTTTTTATATTCCATTAATAGTTTACTTCAACACGTGTACATCGAATGCTATTAAGAATTTCAAGTTTACAATAACTTTACGTAAGACGCGAGTGTTTTTTTTTTCCGCGAACATCTAACAGCATCCCTGAGCGTGGCGGACCGAAACACCCGGTGTACTGCTTCAGCGCTATAATAGAGCAGCAAATTAATTAGTTATGTGGCGCGTGACACTGCTACTGCTCCTTAAACATTTCTGTTTGTTTGTCGTCTTGTACTTGTTAAAGCGAGACAATTTAACATCTGAACACAAGAAATTCTGAACTTTTGGCGTGACCCTTTGAGGGGGCGGGGAAAATTAATGTTATAATTTCGGTTCCTAATTTAAAAAAAAAATCTCCATTACAAGAATTAATCCTTTAAATTTTAAAGAAAGCGTATGCATATTGTCAGAACCAAACGCAATACGTAATACACTCTGTGGGCGAAGTGCTGAGTTGCTGAATATTGATCAGACGGCAACCACTGTAATGCAAAGAGGTAAATAAATGCCGACGTCTTCATGAACAATTCAAATTAATTAAGGACGCAACAGGTGTAACGCACATTGGGATATAAGAAATGCGTACACAATTTTGGTTGGAAATGGTAGAGATCACAGACGACCTAAGTACAGATGGGAAGATAGTATTAAAATTAATCTCATGGAATTAGGGTTGAAGGATGTGGATTGGATTCATCTGACTCAAAACTAGAAACTGCTAGCGAATATGGTAATGAATATTTGGACTTCATAAAAAAAATTTGACCAGCTGAGTCTACTATTAGTTTCTTAAGAACTGTGCAAAATTATGTTAATTGCAAGTGAGTGACCTCAAATGTGGTTTTTAACGGAAGGTAGAGAAGAAAAGAAACTTTATCCGTGATTTATATCTCCACAACACTCGTCACATACATTTATTCCGTCGATAAATTCAGACGGAACTGTGAATGTTGATTTCGTGTGGAGGCCATCTGGTTAATTTTAATTTTTTATTATTAAAAGTGGCCTATAAAAAAAGTTCAATAATTTCGCGGAGCAGTATAGACACACCTCTTCCTCTGATTTAAATTTTTTACATCCTGTGACAACTTATAATGTGGGGATTAACACGTAAAGAATATGGCGGGGGAAACATAATAAGACATCTTTCTTTTCTGAATCAAATAATATAAGGCAAAAACAGACTGTATTTTATCAAAATCACCTCCTTAAAAAACTACGAAATTTAATCCATCCATTGATTAATTTCAACAGCAATAACCAAGTAATCGCCTTGGAGACGCGCTGTGTTTTCTTTGAGGTAAGAACTGGATATTTAAATATTATTTACATGGGTTCCGGCTTCGAAGGGCATAGCTGAAGTCATGACGTCACTCTGCTGGTTGTCTATACAATTCTCTAGCCCAGATAATGACATACAATATGATCGAATGGTAAAGTTAAGAGAGATTTATTTTCAACGTACACATGTACGAAGTGAGCCAATTGTTCTGTCTTCTTACAAGACGCAAACTATGTCAATGTTCTGATTGCAGCAAACGTTTCAAGGATATAAACCAGGTTAAAAGTTTAAATTGACGTACTGATTTCATCTTATCGCCCTGCAATGCGAGTACAAGGTCATTAAAGCGAAAGTACGAGGGGGTACAACGCGCCATGATATTCTTGCACAATTTATATAACGTGTGGGCGTAAACGTAGGTCTGTCACTGTCAGGGGAAAACCTAAGGACACAAAAGGTTTTGGAATATTGATTGATACAAGGTGGACACGACGTGGCTTTCGGCGAGGGAATTTCGTGGACGAACGAGTCCACTGTGGCAAAATTTCGAATATGGCAGCAACTTCCTGCTTCTTGAAAGCAATAAGGTGCATGAACTGGCATTCCACTATTGAAAGTCCGCCCTTAGGCACCATGACACAGCGATAGTTTCCTCCGCTCATCTTCAATCAGATGTTACGTCACAAATGTAAAGAGCAAGCGAGTTTAGCGCAAAACTGGCGTAACTCGACTTCTTTGAAACTCGGCGGACGCTAATAAAATGAGATATTTTAAGAAATCTTATTGTTGTCATTGATAAAAACCCGGGGGGGAAATCGATCTGGAATGAATGACGGACTATAAGATGGTAAAACATTTATTCAGGGTCTCTGTTCACGGGAGGTAAAAGTGACTGGAGCTTATAGCTTATCGCCCACGTCTATATAATGCCAGGGCGAATATATGGAATGTTACCTCCACGTTCAAACTAGTTAATGTGTTCTTCAGGCGTACGCAGGCTTTAATTCCTATTATTATATTTATATTTATTATTATTAACAAAGTAATTTAACTATTATTATTATTATTTAGTATTATTTATTTTATTTAGAATTATTAAATTGAATTATATTTCTTAGGTATCGTATTTAGCCCATTTATTTGTGAAATATGATTCAATAAATGAATCTAATTATTATTATTATTATTAATATTGTACATTTATATATTTAGTTTCATTTGTTTGTTTTACTTTTATTATTATTGAAATAAATTAATTACTTATTATATTTTATCCTGTACTCTGGTTTAGTGCTTGGCTGTTGTCAAGCACTTTCATAAATGAATTGAATTGTTATATTTATGGCTGTAGGACCCGAAGGTTTAATCAGTCAATTACTTAACTAAGTTTCTTAGACACTTTGCAAGTGGCCACTGAATCAGTCATTATCTACGGCGTGTGAATTCAGACAGTCATATTCTGGATTGTTGAATCAACACTGAAGATAAAGGCAGCACGTTTCTTCAAAACGTTAGTATACACCCACAAGACTACACTACGAAATGACTCAGCCAGTCAGAGAGTAATTAAAGGCGTATAAAACCATTTCGCCCTGATGATTTGAAGTGTTTAATTAATAACAAATGACAGTTCATTAGCGCACTGCGATAACGCTGCCCATACGAAAGGGCTGAAAGAGATGAGATATAAATGCTTAAAAGGTTACGAACGTGTTTGATCTGACAAACACGATTAACGGGCCTCCGCAGGGTAAATTATTAATTTGGACTTGGCAGTGGCGTACATATCTAATTCGGAAAATTACTCTCAGTTCGTTTCATTCAAAAGTAGCTGACAGTCTCGCGCGGTTAGGCAATAGCACAATATCGGAGTATGAAGAGTTTTAAATGAAATTATGAAATACCAGGCATCTACGAGGCGCGTCCACAAAGTAAGTTTCCCACTCGTCCCGCAGCTAGCAAACCTTATATTGCGCGAAGCGACTTGGCGTACGTGATAGAGCAATGACGTATCATGGCGCATGCACTAACGGTACTTCCCGCGTTCTCACAGTAGCATCATTGCAGCTGTTGAAGATGGAGGTTCTTATTCCAGCTCCCGCCGACTGTGAAGTGCGGTCAGTGATAACGCTAGGATAGGAGTTCAGCTGGGAGGTGTTTAATCATTCACCCTACAGCCCGGATCTCGCTCC